TGAAACTATCCCTGATGGGCTTCCGCCTGACTGCGCAGTGGGTCACACCATCCCTGTTGAACCAAGAAAGGTTCCACCCTTTCGACCTCTGTATCGCCTCAGTCCAGCTGAGTAAGAAGAGGCCAAATAACAGATCGAGGAATATCTCAGAAAAGGATGGATTGAACCCAGTGCATCCCCTTATGGAGCACCAATTTTGTTTGTTAACAAGAAGGGCGGAGGATTACGCATGTGCGTAGATTATTGTGCCTTGAACAAGATTACGGTGAAGAACAGATACCCTCTACCACGAATTGAGGATCTGTTCGATCGGCTCCAAGGAGCCCAGTGGTTTAGTGCACTGGACTTAGCTCAAGGGTATCATCAGCTACGAATCACCGAAGAAGATGTTCCAAAAACGGCTTTCAGAACGCCGTTCGGGCATTTTCAGTGGCGTGTGTTAAGTTTTGGCTTGACAAATGCTCCCGCGTCATTTTAGCGAGCAATGAATGATGTGTTTCGGGAGGCAATTGGCCAATTCGTATTGGTATACTTGGATGATATCCTTGTTTACTCTAAGACAGAAGAGGAACACACGCAACACCTGAAATGGGTGTTAGGAAAATTGCGAGAGCACAAATTCTTTGCTCGGTTGTGGAAGTGTCACTTATACAAACGCGAGTTAGAATACCTTGGTCACTTGGTAGGCAACGATGGCCTCAAAGTTGATCCAAAGAAAGTGGCGGCAGTCCAACAGTGGCCCGTTCCACAGGACATGGGACGGGTCAGATCATTTCTTGGACTTGCGAACTATTTTCGCCGTTTCTTGGAAAATTATTCCTCCGTAGTCGCTCCACTGACTGCCCTCACTCGTAAGGGTAATGTTTGGCAATGGACCGATCAATGCCAGAAGGCATTTGAGGAAGTGAAAACCATGCTGACCAATGCTCCAGTGCTGGCTTTGCCAGACCCGTCCAAGCCCTACGAGGTGGTAACTGATGCCTCGATGGTAGGGATTGGAGCAGTTCTTTTGCAAGAAGGACGCCCCGTGGCATTTGAGAGTAGAAAGCTTTCACCGGCTGAGTAGCGCTATACAACTTCCGAACAGGAATTGTTGGCAGTTGTGCATGCGCTACGAACATGGAGATGTTATCTCAAAGGTGTTGACTTCGTGGTCACGACCGACCACTGTCCAAACACCTACTTTGCCACTCAAGCCACACTCACCCGCCGTCAAGCTCGATGGGCTGAACTCCTTAGTGGGTTCACCTATGATATTCGATATCGAGCGGGCTCGACGAACATGGCTGATCCGCTGAGCAGACAGCCGATTGGCGCAGCAACGGGGGTTGATGATAATGAACATGCAGCAGTGTTTGCTGCTTGTTTCAGCATCCTCGCAACTGCTCGAGTGAGCGAGATTGCCTTTGGTGGTTTTCTGAAACGCATTCGCGCAGGGTATGATATTGACCCTTGGTTTTGGAACCCACAGAAGATAAAGGATCTCTTGTGGGAGCATGAGCTCTGGTGGCACAAGAAAGAAATTGTTGTCCCACATGCGGGAAACCTGCGGAATGATATTCTCGCGGAGGTGCACGCCACTAAGTATGGAGGACACCTGGGTGTCAAGAAAACCCGGTGGGCCCTCAGTGATGTATACTGGTGGCCGGGAGTGGGCATTGAGGTCCAGCAGTTTGTAACTTGCTGTGACACGTGCGCGCAGCACAAGCCAAGCACACAGAAGCCTGGTGGTTTGCTTCAACCACTTGAGATTCCCGATGAACCTTGGGAGAGTGTATCAATGGATTTTATCACCGATCTCCCCAAGACGCGAGATGGTCATACGGCGATACTAGTGTTTGTCGATCGCTTGACCAAAATGGTGCACTTCGTGCCCACGACGACTGACGTGTATGCAGAGGATACGGCAAAGTTGTTTGTGACGCACGTTTTCCGCTTACACGGTTTGCCTCGAGTGATGGTGTCTGGCCAAGACCCGCGCTTCACAAGACGGTTCTGGCAAGAGGTCATTAAGACACTCGGAACGAAACTCAAGATGTTGTCTGCGTGTGAAGATAGTGAGTAGTATAGTTAAGATCAGGAGCCATAGCTAGGAGAGTCCTAGCTAGGCAAGAGACAGTTTAAGCAAAGAAGGAGTAGTTCACTAGAAAGCAGCAGGATACATATAGGAAACCCTAAGGGGTTGTACTCGCTATAGAGTACCCCACTGCAGGCTAGAGAGCAATAACATTCTGACACACCCCCATAGCCAAAATGGGGTGTAATCAGCAGAGCACACAGTCATAGAGCAGGTGCACAATTGCAAGCAAAGCTAGAGTCTATCACAAAGGGCAAGTGAGGAGGAGGAGGCGAGACTGTAAGAGGAGAGGAGATAGGAGGCGACGGCTGAAGCTCCAGACACACGGGCAACAGGAGTCACATTGGCACAGCGGCTACCGGAACAACGCTCCGGACTACTGGAGTAACTGGCTCCGCGGCTAAAACTAGCGGCAGACGAGCAACGGACCCACGGGCGACTGGCACAGCTGGCTGCGACTGGGCTACCGGAGTAGCGCCCCGGACTACTGGTGCTGCTGGCGACACGACGGCAGTCTCCTCTCAGCCTTCCCAAACAGTCCCACCTCCCCTGACACACACCCGCTGCTTCACCCCTAGCTCCACTCCCCCTTCACCCTCCTAGTACCACTCCTTCGGCTCCCACACACCCACCCCCCTGAGCGGTAGCTGCAGCAGCGGGAGACGGAGGAGGAGGAGCAGGGGACGGCGCTCATAGAAACTGCACCCCCATACCCCTCACCCCAAAACCCTAATTCAGGAGAACGGGCAGCAACAGGGGTGGGGCGCCGTCAGAAGCACGGGGGACAGCGGGCAGCGCAAGGGAAGAGGAAACAGGGCGCCCCCGGGCCAGGCGCAGCCCGTACGGGCCGCGCGCAGGCTGTACGGGCCGTGCGCGGGCCCTACGCAGGTCGCGCGGGCCACGACGGGCGACAGGGGGCGACGCGCAGGTCCCCGTCGCCCGTCGCAGCACCTCCCAGGGGCGACGCGCGGATTGACGGGGCAGAAAGCCACCGCGCGCCTCGGGGCGCACGGCAGGCTGAAAACCCTAATTTCGACGCCGCGCACCACGGGGCGCGCGGCGGAGAGAGCGGAAGCGGAAGCAGGTGGTGAGCCCATACACAGGGCGGCGGCAGACATGCCGCCCTCTGATACCATGTGAAGATAGTGAGTAGTATAGTTAAGATCAGGAGCCATAGCTAGGAGAGTCCTAGCTAGGCAAGAGACAGTTTAAGCAAAGGAGCAGTTCACTAGAAAGCAGCAGGATACATATAGGAAACCCTAAGGGGTTGTACTCGCTATAGAGTACCCCACTGCAGGCTAGAGAACAATAACATTCTGACACTGCGTTCCACCCACAAACGGATGGACAGATAGAGCGGACCAACCGCACTCTTGAGCAAATGCTTCGTTCTTTCATAAGCCCAACTCAGGACGATTGGGATGAATTGTTGCCAGTCGTGGAATTTGCTGTGAACAATTCTGTGCATGAAAGCACCCACGAGAAACCCTTTGTCCTGAACTGTGGTCGGCACCCTACAACCCCTGCGACGCATGGGATTAAGAACCTCAAAATCCCTGCCGCAAAGGACTTTATTGGATAACAGCAAGCGGCTTTGAAGTCCGCTCGCCATTGGCTGCAGCTTGCCCAACAGAGGCAAAAGTCCTATGCCGACATGAAACGCCGGGAAGTCGTCTATGCAGTTGGCGACAAAGTATTACTGAGTACGAAGAACATTCATCTTAAGATTCCGGGAGCAAGAAAGCTCTTCCCTCGTTGGATTGGGCCCTTCGAGGTGATAGCGCGAGTTGGTGAGGTCGCATATAGGCTTAAGTTGCCTGCAACACTGCAGATTCACAACGTCTTCCACGTGTCTCTGTTGAATAAGTATGTTGCTGAAAGCAAGTACTTACCGCCACCAACTATCGTTCTCGAGGAGGAACTCTTTTATGAAGTCGAGCGTGTGCTAACGCACCGTGATCGACAACGCGGCCGCAAAACAGTTTGTGAGTTCCTAATTCAGTGGAAAGGCTATGGGCCGGAACACAACTCTTGGGAGCCTGAGGAACACTTGACCGAAGCAGCGGTTCAAGCGTATATGGAAGACATGGCTCTACGAGCAGGCCCACAACCAGTGGACGGGGTTGACCCTGGTCGTAATGTGGTGCGCCGTGCTCGAAGCACTCGTCCTCAGAAGCACCCTAGGGCAACGGGGACGTTGCCACCTAGGGGGAGAGGAGTGTAACGCAGCCCCTACTCCTACCTATCGAGCTACCTCACTCCTAAGGCAATCATTCGAGATTGAACTCGATGAAGGTTGCGTTGCGGGAGATTGTAGTTGGGGTTGGGAAGGAGGGGTTGGGAAGGAAGGGTTGGTTGGGTTTATCCAAACCTCAACATTGAGGCTTGGAACATTCCAACCCATCAAAGGTTGGAATTCCAACCAATCAGAAGCTGCCAAACAATTGTTACAATCTACTCTATCCTAAACACAACCATTGAATGGTTCTAAGTTGGGTTTTCCAACCCAACACAATTGCCACATAGGCTCCAGGCCTAAGAACCATCCCACCATGGAAACCATGGTTAGGATAGTTCTCCAAGAGGTGTATTGATGGGGTCTGAGCTAAGCAAGCTCATCCTCAACCCCCCACTCCAACTAAATAATTGGAAATGGGATTGTTTCTCAAGTCATCTTGGGCTCTCTCACAAGCCTTCTTACACAATTCTCAAGCTATTTCAACAACTCCTTCAAGAAGATTGGCACCTCAAAGGCTATTGGGAGCTAGCTAGAGCTTCATCTTGTATTGGGTGTTACAGTCCGCCACCCCCACTGCCTCCCCATCACTGTCCACCACCCCCAACACCTCCCCCCCGCTGTCCGCCACCCCCAACACGTCCCCCAACAGCGGGGGCGCGGAGCTCAGCTCGCTGAGTCGATACCCTAGGAAGCGTACTTCTGGATCAACTCAAGTAGCTTCGCCTGATACGCTCCAACAACTTCGTCCGCCTTCTCCCCGTTCACGAACACAAGGAAGGTTGGCGTGGTGGTAATGTTGAACTGCTCTGCCACTGCCTGCAATGTTCGGAAGCAAGATTCGGAAGCAAGGTTCGGAAGCAAGGTTCGGAAGCAAGGTTCGGAAGCAATGTTGGGAAGCAATGTTGGGAAGCAATGTTCGAAAGCAATGTTGGGAAGCAAGGAACCCTTTAGCGATCTCAAAGTGACGGAAACTATTGGTAAAGGGCAGATAAAAACAGGTCTCGACAAAGCGACAGGCAGGATAAATCATGGAGAAGACGAACCGAAAGAGCGTCGACATCCACTTTAAGAAAGGTGATGGATGAATATCGAGTCGCATATTTGTCAAAAACCGGGTCGATTGACCGGCAACGGCCGCACCAAGTCGCTGTGAAATCCACAATGAACTGAAAAATGAAGGAGCACCAAGGTCAGAAACTTAATCAAGTTCAGGTGCGATGGCTATCGATTGTAGCCAACACAGTACAAAAAAGAAACATAGAATCGATTCTCGGCATGCGAGAGCATAACGAAACTGCAGACCCAGCCGCGACAGCGACACTGAGAGCTAGATCGACGCAGTTCAGCTCACCACTTTTCCGCTGCGGAGAAAAGTCCCCCACTCATCCTCGGATCTGACAACGAAAACCTCCGCCATAGATCGCCGCGAACAAGCACCGAAACTATCAGAAACGGTGGCTGGCCTAAATGCTGGCAGAATCAAGTTTCCTAAAATGCCTGGAACCTGGGAGTTAACATTCACGTCCAATTCATTTTTGGACCGAGGTGGCTTTGCCCACACGTCAGAGCAGGGAGGCGCTCCCTGCACGCATCTCCCTGCTGATGTAGACTGACGGCGGGTCAAGCGCGTTCGTTTTCAGTTCATCCGTCGTGGCGCAAGACGATTCCAGATGGTGCACAACGGTTATTAAGCGTCTCCGTTTTGCACCTTGACGAACAAGATGCACAGGGCGCGGTGCATCATGTGTGAAACGGGGTCCTCTCTGTCGTGTGTCGTTTTACAGGCTCGATGGGGGTTCATCGTGTCGAACTTGATATTTGTAAACCCACTTATTCGTTTATCTCACCAAGCGCGTTTCGGTCGGAGGTGCTTGTCGTTTTTGCCCGCTTTAACCAGGGCCCAAATAGGTTTAGTCTCACTCTTTCAAATCAGGGTGGCAGGCCCTCCGTACCCTGACAGTTAGGGTAATTTTCGTGGTACACTGTTTACAGCAGTGTAAAATTTGGGTACACTGATTTCAGCAGGGTGTTCTCCGGTACACTGATGCATTAGCAAATACTTAGAAAGGTGAGAACAGTCGAACGACGAACGTGAGAAAGGTGAGAGAATGGCGATAGGCTGATAGACTCCTTGGGAATCACAAAGCCCAAGAAGGCCCAAGCAAAACGGTTTCCGCGCACTGCGGCAAGTGCATGGCAGAGGCTGCAACACCACAATCACTGCCATGTGGTGCAAACGACAGCACGAAACCCACCTGTCGCGCATTTTGGCACCCTTGGCAGTGAGCGATGCTTCGGGAACACCCTACGTTGCTTGGATGCTGCTCAACGGACCAATCATGAACGTGCGCGTGCAGCCGCACTGCTTCTACGTTGGCGCGCTAGTGGGCATATCGTACAAATGCTCCAGTGGGTCCGTGGTGAAATTTGTCTTTGCGCGTCCTGTGGCGGAATACTCAGTTAGAAAAAGATCCGGTAAAAGTGTAGTTGAGCCCGTACCCTGATACAGTCAGTGTAACTAAAATTGTTACAAGAGTACTTTTCTCAGTATCTTGATTTCACTAGGGTAAAAAATTGCATAGCCTGATTTCACAAGGGTAACTGCCAAGCGGCCTACCATCAGGGAAAAAAGGGTATTTTACCCTTGAAATTTGGGGCCTGCTTTTAACGTCTACGAGTCACATATCTCTGCATATTGCCGTCCCTGCTCCCAAAATGTGGCTATAAATACGTTTTTGCAACTGTAGGCCGGCCTGACCTAAATATAACTAATAATTTTGGCCTCGCCTTTAGCGCGAATGCGTGTAACTGTAGTGCTCTGCCACCAATTTTCTTCAACGTTTAGCAATTCAATGCTGAACTGATTACGCGCGTGAATCGATCCTATATGACATAAACGCATCGCTCCCAACCTTCTATGTGAACGTACCGAGCTGGTGGCATAATCGCGGGTGCATCAAACGAATAAGTGGGTGTAAACCGAGGTCCTAGCCAAGCAACGAGTTACGTAACGGGCTTGGTTCACGAACTCGACGGTCCACAAAACAGAAATTCAACCTGTCACATTTTCGCAAGATGTGTCAGAGGCAAGCCCCTGGTTGGGCATTTCGCAATTTTCCCAGACATGTTGCTATGGTATCCCAGCAAACACCACCATATCAGAACATGCACCGAACCACCGCGCATTCCATAACTTTTTACGTTCTTGACGTTGCCCCCCCCCCCCCCCCCCCCCCCAACTTGGCGACTGCAAAATTGCGAAGAGTCGAAGACCATCTCAGGAGTCACGACCTGAAATGAACATCCCAACGCAATTCGGCCGTCGGAGTCGATTTGCCTGGGTCGTCAGGAGGGGTCCTCAGAGCCGGGCATGACGAGGCGAGCAACTGACGCGCGTGCAGGCCTGCCAGCCTGGCCCAGGGCTGGGCCGAGCGCACGACCGCCGCCTCGCAACCCCTCCACGAAAGTAAACAGCGCCCCACGTTATCGTGTGGGGGCGGCGAAGTGGCGACCCCCTCGCGCAAGGGAAAGTTACCCTCGCGCGACGGCAGCCCTTCCGTCCTTGCTGCCTGCGAAGTCCTTGTGACCCTCGCGACCTGCCCGGACGGGCAAACGAGGGCCATGCGAAATTCAGGTGCTCCTCTCGGGACATTCGACAATTTCGCGACCCGTTGCGGTGACGCCACGTGTTCGCACGTGAATTCGCATCGAATGCACATTTCGCACCCGCCGAAATTCGAGCGACATTAGATTGCTCGCATCGCGGCGCAACATTCTCGCTACCCGCAGCGAAATCGACTCGTATCGATCGAAACGTCGCACCGCGCGCATGCGAATTTGCGCACCCTGGCCGACCGAGGCCAGGGGACGTGACGTCGACCTGCTCGGCGGCGAAGTGCACTTGTGCCACGCCACTTGTGCATGAGCCCTGCCGAGCCAGGCACCACGACCCATGAGGCGATGCTCAACCGGGCCTGCGAGGCTCCGCCTCGCTTTTCTTTGTGGAAGGTGGACTCGGCCCTCATTTTCGCTTTCTCGTTTCTATTTCATCCTTTTTCCTAGCTCTGCGCCTTCCATACTCCCACCGCATCTTCCCTTAGCCTGTAGCATCCTTGCTTTCCCGCCATGGTGGCCGACCCGAAAGTCGCCGAAGCGGCGCCGACTTCTCAGGACTTCCCCTTGCATCTTAACAACGGTAGAGGACTCACTGCCAAGTTCGAGGAATACGACTGCGCCGTTCTCACGTTTAACGCTCCTTGCTTGGGACTCGGCCTCAAGTAAGTGTCTTCCGGGGATGTCGGCGTCGAGCATTCGCGGGGTTCCATGCGACTCGTCGTTTAGGTTGACGAGTTTAGGGTTCATGTCGATCACGTCGTTGATGTCGACGTACGGTGTTAGGTCGGCGTCGGCGCTTGGTTGTGCCATAGTCGTTCGGCTCCCTTAATTACACCGCTGCGAGGGTGATAAACCGTCGTACTATTGCTACAACCGTCGTATCCACCATCGTGCCGTGCACCCCGTCATTCTATTCTTCTTACTATGCATACGTGCAGGCACGCATGGATGCACGCAACGTCGACGAGCGAGTGATTGTGGTCGATAGGAGTCGACCGGCTTTCGGGCAGCGATGGGACAAGACGACCACACATGCTTCGCGATGGTTTTTGACGCCGACGTAGCGGTTATCCCACTAACATCGAGGTGAACTAGTTCGGGGTCGCCCTGTTGTGTGCTGCAATCAGTGTCCGTGATCTGTTCTAAGCGAAGTCGACGTGCATTGTCTGTGCAGCATCGCACTAGTCCCAGGATCACATTGCAGCGTTGTCATCATCCTGTGGCCCAGCGATTTGTTGAAGGCATCGGGGCAGAAGATCAGGACATTAATCCGGCACGCTGACCCGCAGACAGTGAAGGAGTGGCACCGCGATGAGGCGATCCGCGTGCTGAAGTGAGCTCGACAGTGTAGTCGACGTCGCATGCAAATTCCCAGCGGAGCGTGCCCCATGCTTACCGACCGTCTATGCCATGCTTATGCAGGTTTTTCCGGGCGACAGTTCTGGCCAAGCTGCGGCGCGATGGTAGTAAATGGGAGTGGGCGAAGCTGTCCAAAGAAGAGGTGCAGGAGAGGCTCGCCGGCTGCGATCAACCCCTTCGAGATGTGAGCACTGAACGATTTACCGTCCTATGGTGTGACATCCTTGTGGAGAGTCACTCTACAACGGTAGTGAGCTAGACTAAGGGGTTGGGACGAACTACTAGGAGTGATCGTAGCTTTGCTTGTGTTGGCACATTCACGGGAGAAGTTGGCAAGAGTTTCACTAGCAAAGTTGGAATTACTGAATGATTCAACAAGCAATGGCAACAATGACTATATCAGGCACCTAGCGACCCCGCTGCTAGCCTGGTCGACCGCCAGCGCAGCTCGGTCAACCGCCTGCCTATGTTGCGTAGAGGAGCCGCGCTGACACTGCACAAGGGCGACCTGCCAACAGAGCAGGTCGACGGCGTGCCAACGCTGCAGCAGAGCGGCTGTCCAGTGTTGCCCCGTAGAACACAGTAGTGCGCACACTCACAGATGCGCGCAGACGATTGGCCCGACTTGCCTCGTTGGGCATCCGCTGGCTATTGTCTGCGCCTGACGAGCCACATCGACTATGGGATACCAACTCGCAGTCGCCTGCGCCATCGCATCCTCGACGACGTTCGCGTGCCTCCGGAGAACTCATCGAGCAGGTTACCCGGTCGACCCGATCGACCACCAGGTGCTTCCGGTCGACCACCACTGCTTTTGGTCGACCACCAGGTCCCTCTGGTCAACCACCAGGTGCCTCTGGTCGACCACCAGGTGCCTCTGGTCGATCACAACTCCCGTCGAGCTACCCCCTGGTCGACGAACCCGTTCCGTCGACCGGAACAGTCAGCGGTTGTCGCCAAGCTCCCCTCGCCGACAGCTGCTCACTTGTCAGGTCGAAAGACTGCTCCCTCAACCTCCCGGTCAAGCTGTAGGTCGACGAGATGCTCGGAGACCTTTCGGTTGAGTTGCTGGTCGACGAGATGCTTCGCAGACCTCCCGGTCAAGCTGCAGGTTGACGGAATGCTCTGGAGACCTCCCGGTCGAGCTGCAGGTCCTGGTCGACGTCCCACCCGTCTCCCAGACCAGTCAGTTGCAGCTGTCGAGCTCCATGGTCGACAGCAACACCACATCGGTCCCCTGCAGCTCGACGAAGCCAGCCGAGCAGCTCTCCCACTGTGAACGGCCGGGTGCTACTCCCGTACATCCGACCAAGTCGTCAGCGTTGCCCAAGCGAGGGCGAGGCCAACACTCCATTCCCGTTAACACTCCCCTGCCGCGCTCTCGCTCGGGCCTCCAGCCCACACGGCAGTACTCCACGGAGAAGACTCGTCCTCGATGTGCAC